CATGGCCCCTCGCGGGCTGCTCAATGGCTTTATAGGAGGCTGGGGGCCCAGTCTGCGAAACCCTGGCCTAGTGGTTAAAGCTTTGGACATGATTATCTTGGCTTGAATATCTCGTGTGAAATCCCACGACTCGGGGTGTATTAAATTGGGTAGGCAATTCTGAACCGAAAAAATCACGGTGAATCAAAATGTGACTCCGTACATATTAATAGTTTCATTTACAGTCCCATGTTCAAAGTAGAGAATGCTGTATAAAAGTATTTTTATAAAGAATCATTATCTCAAGATTCATTCCATACCGGATTATTCTTCGCCCTTTTTCTTTTTGGCAAGAATTTGTCGGCTTGGCAGATTTTTTAATGATCACAAACAACCTTCATTACATATAATAAACTAATTTGACGGATGGTCTTCGAATTTTAAGCCTATTTTTGCGCCATCCCAAAACAAGGATGCGCCTATCTGTAATTGGATGAACGCTATTTTTATTTACATTTTTCGTGTAAATGTCGGCAATTACTCTTTCAGAACGTGGGAAATAGCCCCGGGTCCCGTATTGAAAACTAACAAACGGGGCATATATTACCAAACATGATGTATTTTTAATTCACGTTTAAAACAAGTGGATTTAGAGTTGACACAAAGCTGGTCTGATGAAATTTAAGACAAAACTATCGTATTGAAATGAGTTTATTTTTCGATACCGCGCGCGATTCGAGGGCTGCCCGCCTCACGACTTAAGCGAGATACCGCAATGCTTTTGTTTACCGTTGGCCGCTACTCAAATTGAATTCTTATTCATATTATGACCTCATAGACAAACTCGATGACTTTAATTTGAGTACATAATGTTATTTCAGAATTATATTCTGTATTTTGCTCTAGTATATGAGTCCATCGCCATGTTGCAAATTTCTCTCTCACTCAGATGTAAATAAGACTAATTTCTGAAAGTAAATAACACTCATCTCTGAACAAAGTTAAAGATGGACACTGAAATGCAGTGTAATCGTTCAATGATGGGAAATGTACAACCATATTTCTATATAGTTTTTGTAACTTACGGCATTTCATTGAACGCCTGTAACTTAATTTAAAAATGGAGCTCCTTTACATCTTGGTGAGTGGGCGTAGTCTTCCATCTAATTTTCTTAAAATGCTCTCTTGGTGTTTCAGTAGTTGCCCGTTACTTTGCTCATGAATGATTCCATTTTCGAGTAAGTGCGCGCAACCTTATTTGAGTAAATTCTCAAAAAATTCGAAAAAATCTATGGAATATCTAAAAAAATAATCAAGAGCTCGGGTATTTCGATGATCAGTTCTGGTCAGCGTGAGGTCGTTTAATCCTAACCAAATAGACTTAGCAGCACCGCAGCCAACTACGATAAGACCATTTTAATTAAAAAAATTCTTTACACATTGAGTTTCTTACAAAAAATGAAAACCATTTTTCAATTTACTTTATTAATAATAAAACAGTTACGTTATCACACAAATATTTTGTCTTTTATGATGGGATATCGCTTAATTGTATTGGTAAGCCATTCTGAAATATTCATGTCCTTTATTCACGCGTTTTTGTTTGTTTTCTGTGATCTCACTTTTGAATAAGTGTTTTACCAAGCGAGGCCATGCGTAAAAAATGTATAAACTGTGGGAAACATGTTTGGCCCTGCCTTGTGAAAGGTTTAAATGTGAGTTAATTTTTCACCAATAGACGGCTGGTAGGCGAGTCTCAGTCAGATATGTAATTATTCCTTTGTATATGGAATACTGCTTCATCGCCAGACTGTACTATGGCCCGGAAGACAGGCTTGGATTATAAGGTCCTTGAATGATATTCTAAAAACCACCATTTTTAGGGCGTTAAAATTTTGTGCAACTGCAACGGAGTGTAATATATTGGGTTGGTGACCGTACATTTGAACCCACGTACATTTGAACCCATGTTTATATCCGCGGGTTCAATCAATATGCGGGTGCTGAAACCCATGGGTTAGGGTTAGTATGGGTTCAACTATCCGTACAACAACAAAATTTCCATAGGTGCAATAGTATGCAGGTGGAATTGTCATGGGTTCAAATGTACGTGGGTTCAAATGTAATGGAACCTATTGGGTACCAATGTACGCCCTTACCCAGGGTGCAATAAACCAGGTAGGCAATCGGAAAGATACCATAAATTGTAACTTTTTTCCATCAGTAGTTGCGCATACTAGTCTTGCTTTGGGTGAAGGTATAGTTAAAAAACTCACTAAAAAACTTAAAGCAATGGGGGGCTGGGTATAATTCTCGCCAAATAAAGCAAATCCATCAGTAAAGCAGCAATTTTCTCAACTCTTATGTAGCTATTGTACATTTTTCAAATTCTGTATTTTAAAAAATTCATGTGATCGGCATAAAGAGTTAACAACCGGATTTCACACATTATTTTTTACTTTTTCATCGATTTCACCACCCAAAATAAGCTTCATACAAAATCGTCATGAGAAGACTGGTTTCACCATTTTTAACATGTTATTTGTCAAATTAGATACTCCAAGTAAGAGGCCTCAAAGATAAATTTAAAATTATCACTAATTAAAAAATCGAAACACCTGCTACATAAGAGAAGTTTGAGCACTGTATAGGAGAAATGTACCGTTTAGATTTGTTTAAACGTTTATATTTAATTGTGAAAAGTTTTTGACGTTTTCCGTTGATGTATGGCATGACTCTGAAAATATTTTTGACATGGTTTATTTTTCGACTATTGTCAGATTTGAATATTAATATGACGTAGTATTTTAATACTATGACGTATGATTTGATATGACGTTACTTCTTGTAAATTTTATTTCCGCCATCTTTTCCATTTTTAAGTGTAGTAATACACATTCCTTACAAATCCAGGCACCTGCTATGGCTCACTCATTACCGCACGCTTTATTTCGGAACTGAACCTGTCCCTTTGCACTTGTTCTAATTCCCTGTGGTATTCCCACTATGAATGACAAATGTATATGTGTATTGCTTGCCAATTGGTTGTTCAAATTCGCTTTTATTGCCCAAGAATGAACCTAATATGGGTAGTGACTTTGAGTCGTGCTTCGGGTATGGCATACAATTGACCGACGACAACTCTTGGCGCCAATTTAGCAATTTTTGTTATGACGTAACAAGGGAGTTGAAGAATTTGTGCACAAGTGTTTTTGAACGTTTGCACCTGGTTGACGAAAAGTTCAAAGACGTTTTATTGATAAAAGTAGAAATAAAAAATCAATGAAGAAAAAAACTGTCACAACGGTATTTGGAATCAAAGTCCGAATTGTCAACTCTTATTTTTACACACGTTTTTACAAGCGACCAATGTACGTATGCGTAAGGTCGCTTCATATAATCTTTTTGTTTCGGCATTTCCTAGGTGAGAGCGCACGATTTGGTCCTTAGGTATTTAATCTGTAAGCCCAACAATTTAAACACTAGAGTTGGACCAATGCCCCCACAAAATGTGTTAGCTGTTTGCAAATTACGGCTTTCACTGCACATTTTCAGAGCGAAATTGCGTTGCAATATCAACGAAAACCGTACAAACAATCCACGCGCACTCACTAAATTTTATAAAGTTATCTTCAAACTTACCAATATAATGATAACTAGAGTCTTAAGGTAATTTACTAAACGACATTCTAGACCCCATTAGCCTTAGTAATAAGGGTTGAATGTCCCGTTAAGATTACATTTGATATCTGGAAAATGATAATACAGCGCTACTAGATTCATCAATGATAATAGAGTCCGAATTAGAGGCAGTTTTGGAAGAGGTCATATCACAAGGTTTCGTGAAAATTGCATTTTACTATTAGTTAGTTGTGAGAGCAAAACCTAATATTACATTAGAAACAACCTAAAATCACAAATAAAACAGGTGTGAAAACTAATCAAAAATTCGAATTACGGAAATCAACTGGAATTTTCATCTGCTACGCCAGTGGTTTCCAACCTTTCATGGCTCGTGTACCCCTTCCCAGAAGGATTTAGCACTCATGGCCCTCTGGTTATTATTCCAGTGGTATTTATAATGTTGTTGGTGTGAGGGTAGGACCTCCCCCTCTTTCGAAATATAAAAAATAAAACATTTTGCTGTTTCATACATAAAAAATTTTCGTAGCTTGAAATAATTTTTAGACACTCGAAGACACTCTGGCTGACCTGGCCACGCCTCTACGGGCGACCAATCAAATGCCAAGAGGTACCAAGACTATGGAAAGTGAAAGTTAGATTTGCGTGTTAGTAAAAACATATCGACGAATGACTTGAAATACCATCAGAAGAATGAAATATTGCCAAAAATTTTCGAATATTTCATATTTTTGTGTATTCGACACCAAATTTTTAGGCATCTCAAAAATGTCTCCTGTGTTTTGTTTCCCATGTGACTTGTGTCCAAAAATCTATTAATTTTGTCGATTTCTTGGTAAGATTAGGTATTTTGTCATTTTCAATTAATAATTCGTCTAAAATGAGGCCTTATCTTGTGTAGTATCGCACCCCGAGGCGGGATAGGCGTTCAATTCCCACGGTACCGGCGTTTATAGCAGGTGAAATCTAATAATAACATCGCAAAACGTGATTTTCGTTTCTTCGGATTGGTTTACAGGCGAATGTATTACATGTGTTCATCCACATCTCATTTAAGCTTAAAATGTCCTAAAATTACAGTTTTTACAAATTCTATTTTGGATTTTTTAAGCAAAACTATATATCATAAACCCAAAAATTAAAATAAAAAATTTGTTTCGAAATAATAATAAAAGGACATCAGTAGCATATGACGTCACATTACTTGAATGCTTGTTTAATCCGAAATTTTATACATTTCAAACTTTTTTTAATTTTTTTGGAAACTGCGATTTTTAGCTCAAAAAATTGCTTAATGATAAAAAAAATCTATGACGTCATCATGATATGGCGTCACATTTCTGAAATTCCTATTTCAACTTATATTACTTACTCGACAGGTTTGCGTCGCCACGGGATACTTTGAGCTCCAAATACTCAAGGTTAAGAATTTAGCTGGAGAATTAGAAGATGGAGAATGCTGTGACGGAGAGAGGGGACTGTAAGTTGAATATTTCTGGTATTCTCAGTTAAAATTAAAACCGAGAATAGGAGTTTCCCATGATTGTGATTTATAAACGATATCCAAAATTATCGCTATTCAATAAAATTAATTCCAAATCTTTGAATATTGAATTACTGGTTGTATTTCTAAAAAATTGAAACTTTTATATTGAAATATTTCATCAATAAAGGAAACTCCCCTCCCCAATTAATTTAGGGAAGAATTCAGTGACGATATTTCTTTGGACGACAATATAGTTCATCTTAACTTGCTAAGTATTACGCCTTGCAACTGAGGTTTCTTATTTCATTAGATAAGCTCATAGTCACCTTTTACACCCATCGTCTTGTCATGGCCTGGAATCGAACCCTAAACCTCATGTGTAAAAAATCTCACTTACAGATACGGAGTATGCAATCAAGACGAGTGTGATACCTACTTCAAACTGTGCTTAAAAGAATACCAGTCCATTCCAAAACGAGTCGATTCAACTTCATGCACATTCGGGTCCAGGATCGGACCTCAACTTGGCGGGAACTCTTTCCAATTGAATAAAATTAATTCAGCAAGTCCGGGAAGAATTGTGATCGGATTCCAGTTTGCGTGGATGGTGAGTGTTGGTTTTTTGATAGCAATGGGGAAAATAAAGTCTATAATACGGCTCGATCGCTCAAAGGGTAAGGTTGTAATGCTTTATAAGATTTCTAATTCGTCCTGCAGGAGGAAGTTGGCTTAATCATGTGATAAATTATGTCAAAAATCGTCTGTAGGAAGATATGGGATTTTCATATTTATCCCGTGGGAGAGGAAGGCCAAACAGACGACTTTATCACGGCCGGATACCAGTCAATGTGGGGTTTGGGATTAGTTAACCAGTTTCCTACCAGATGCATGGACATGACGAAATAATTTTATTTCGAATCTAAAATAAGGTGTCGGACTTGTATCCTCTATATCTGCAAATCTTCGTTCCATTTTTTTTTAATTTGTAAGTACTGTTTTAAAATAGAAAAGTTCGAAATTGTACTTGCCTCATTATGTGATCTAAATACCGGATGTACTTATATGATTTTACCGGATGTCATAAGCATCCGACATCTGTGTTTCTCAGTAGCAGAATAATCAGATTTGTGTGAACATTATTACGATTCTGTCAGAGTTGGCCCGTAGTTGTATCGTGTCATACAAACTAGTTTTATTCGTCACACACACACGGCCAAAGTAAATCTAGGATAAGTAGAATCTTTGACAAATTGTTACTTCACAAAACACTCTTTGTGTTGTAACAATGTAAAAGTCGTAGTTTCCCCGCTGTGTTTTTCTGCCTGATTTAATACGTAACAAACGGATAACACGTGTAGTTCCGGCCACCCTTTATCCGCGAAACCAATTTGGAATTTATTTCTAGTTTTTGATGTTCTAAGATTTTGATTTCATATTTTTCGAAATGTATTCAATTTTGGTATAAGTTTGTCCCAAAAATGGTATTAGCCCCCAAACTAAACGTAGAAAGCGTACTGATAGAAAAGGTTTTCAGTGGTATCTTATTTAGAAAACAGAGCAGAAACATTTTTAAAGTTTTCTGTGCTTCTAGGTGAAAAGACACTACTAGGGTCGCCGTATGACGAGTTCGCGCTTTTGTTTATATTACTAACTTGTTTCAAATTTTACGGTGATTGTGATGTCACAGCGTCTTTTGTTTGTATATTATGTCGTAAACAATCGAACGCGTGTGAAAGTTTGGATCGAAAAGAAACTATATACAACGTATTTTTACTGTTAAAAATGTCGGAAAAGTTTCTTAAATTAATCTATCAACGTGCCCATATATTTTAAATAGTATTTCGTTTCTTGAATAGTTCTTGGTTGAATTATGTGCCTATTTATTAATAGTGAAATTCAAGTTATTTTTGACATTTTTTCAAATTTTTACTTTCCTGCGTTTTCGGTATAAATATGGAATGTGTTACGCTAATTACGTTTCTCGTCTTGTGTCTCCATCCTGATATCGGCTCAATGGCCTTTTATTTCTCTTATCATGAAATTTATTCGGCGTTATACACTTTTTGATATCAACTGTCAATTGTATTAAAACACAGTGTCTTATGTGTCGGTCTTTTTAATGCTATTAATAATGCTCTCTGTCATATGAAGTGACCATTCGTTATAGCATGTCTTTGTATGGGTCGTATATGGCGGCATACTGTTAATTGTCCAAAAATTCTTTCGGCTGTATCAGAAGTGTGCGAGTAGTTTTGTGTTATCAGTGCGCTTCCAATTGACCTACATTTGTCTTAGAAGACGTTATAAGACCAATCATCGCGGTGTCTGTTGTTAAAACTGCGTTTTGTTACAATTCAATCATCAGCGAGTTATATTCTGTATCATGGCGATCTGGAAATTTGAAAGTTGTGAATCGTCTTGCGATCGCCTTGCGGTTACAGCGTTTGGCATACCCTGTCGTCATCACAGATTAAAGTCTTGGGGTCAGAACCCCAATGCTCGCTATCGTATCAATGGCTAAATATATTCAATATGAAATGGCAAACTGGAAATATCTTGCCTTCAAAAACAGCTTATTATCTGTTTTCAAGAAAAATAATCCCGAGAGTCGGCTTTATGAAGCATTTCAAAATATCAAAAATCGAATTTTGTAGAATAATTTTAAAATATAACTTTCTTTTAATCTCGAAGAGTGCGTGTTTACCACCAGTTATTTTACTCATCTGGAACTTCAATCATGTCTTGTTACTCCCGTGCATTTTCTGTAAATTTGCTTATAGAAATGTTTATTAAAAAACCAATACTTCTGGCCTGGAGTTGGCCATTGATGATAGAAATATTTTCATACATGTTCATATTTGTTATTCTTGTTTCCATGGAATCATATTATTATGTAATAATGACCACGGAATTCATCAATCCATCCACGCTTCCTGTACAATTGTTGCATCAGAATGAAATATAATTTGGGGTTACTTGAGGATATTTTGCGATATAGCCTGATACTGAACGCTATTTGTAAGCTTGTTTACATCCGAGTTATATTGACTATTTCAGCCGAATACCTCCCTCTTCTTAACTCTTCGAGGTCATTCATAACGGTTTGTAATCAGGGAAATATCACAATCAATTTCCGATTTCGGATAGTGAAAATTTTGACTCCAACTCCACGGATGCATAAAATGTTAGCTCGGATTACAGGTGCCAACTCCGAGAAAATCGAATTTTAATTTGAAAATCTTTGTCATATATTCACTTACAATGACAACGTTCACTAGATTGTCATTGTATATCTCGATTCAACCACGGAATTCAGAATGAAGAAATCATTGCTATATAAGGTGTCCATAAAGTTTTAAAATTTCAAAGCGAATTATTGCTAGCATATATTGTTTCAGCCCTCGCAGATGTATTAAATGATGTAAAAATACTTGAACAATTACTGATTAAAAACTAACAAACCCGGTTAAGATATATTGAGAACTGACTTCATAACAAAATTGAAATTGTAAAGGGACTTTATGGACACCCTGTATATCCGAGTGTTCGACACGAGTCGTCTTCCTATAGAGACGTTTCGACATTCATGGCTCCCTCGCGCGCGTGGCGCTGACTAAGCGTGCGTATTACCTTACAGATCTTAGTGTGATCCCGAAGGGACACGGTGCGATCCCCTGAGATTGTAGGAACGGACGGCCTGCGCCTTTCTGTCATGCTTCCAACGCATTGGTTTGAATTCCTTCCAATAGAAGTTCACGTACAGTTGGTGGGCGTGACATGCAAGATTTTCTCAATTTGTCATGAATAGTTCTCAAGCATCCACTAAATGTGCTGTTCATTTGAAAGGGCCCGGGCCTCGGATAAATCGGGTTCGTTCTTAGGATTAACTGATTTCTTATACTCCGTATGAAGAAGCCCTTAATATGCGGCCCGACCGTCATTTAAATGGAATCTTCCGTAGAGGGCTATTGGCCTGCTGTATAGACAGCAGGCTAGGTTTAGAAAAGGTTACGTTGTTGGACTGCCTATTAGTTAGGTGGCTGTTTAGGAATAGGCCGGTATACATGTCCCCAATCTCCACACGAATGGCCGCCACTTTAACGCAACGAAAGCAAGAATTTACTAAACCATTGCAAGGTTATAAAATTCCCTGGAGTATTTGACCACCCTTTGTGGACATCTCTTTCGAAAATTTTAAAATTTCAAAAACCGATATCATGCGACATACGTCGTTCAACTTGAATTGGTCACTCGGTCAGGACACTTCAATTCCCAAAAGTCCAGTTAACGTAATTCAGCATACGGTCTCTCTGATGGTGGACACATGAATTTGGGAATCTTAAAATATTTCTGTGTATAGTAAAGTTTCTTGATGTCCATTATGCCCATATGGCGCTTCTCCACCTTAGGTCAATGTTACAAAATTGAGTTTTGTCGTGAACAACACACCAGTTTCAGTTTATAAACTGGAATTAAACCGTCCTGAATAATGTATAAAGTTTTCATATATGTTCCAAATGACGTCCAGAAAGGTTATCGGCAATTGCCCTACGAAATTGACCTTATCATATAAGCTTATAATAGCTTCACTTTAAATGTCCATCGAGGCTTGACCATAACTTGCTTTGATAGTTCAAAGTGGCCAAAGCTCCACATAACCATTTTTATAACATCTAATTCTCAGTGTAGCAGTCAGTAGAACGCCAGCCCTTCCAAATTACCATTGGGAACATATTGTATATAATCATTTCTATTCCTAACTGGCTGTCTAGGAGACATCCCAATCAATATTCATCCGCGGAGGATGCTACTCAAATGGTGATTGGAATTAAATATCCATCTTTATTCGCAACTACGACATACTGCGCAGTACCGATATCTATATACACAAGTAACTCACATGCACCAAAGCTACATACGCAACTATAACCTTTTCTCCTGCTCTCATATAGTTAGGTACTGTCCATCAACTTAAAATAGGGCCAAATAGGTCATTTACAACGCGAATTGAGCATTGAATCTTTCTTAAAATCTCTAAGTAAATAGTAAATCATATATGGCGTATACATGGGCCATGTTTTAGATGTGTTCCTGCATGAGCTAGTTGACTTTGTGAGATAAAATCTACATTTTAGCATATCGTGTTTCTACTTGTGTTAGATAATCTATTGGGACCATACTTGGCCACTGATAATATTTGTATAATTTTTACTATTATTATTTATGTATATAACAGTAATTCTAGGGTCAGAAGCCGTTTCTTTATTTTTCAAATTTGCCGCTCGTAATTCGTTGTACCTGCCCACCACCTGCCGTTCCTGTGTCTTGAATCGTAAATAGTAAATGAGAAAGACTGTTAAAATATCGCCGCTTAGTTGCATGCCTGGCCCACACTAGAAAATGGTACATTTGGGGGAGAATAATTGTTTTGTGGAAAAGTTTTCGGGCCGTTATAAATTTGGACATTATCTAAGCAATTTCGTCAAGTTCTATGTTTAATCCTTATCAATTTTTGGTCACGCGTTTTATGCCGTAACAAATGCTTTTGTGAACGAACAGATATCAGTGTGACATCACAAAGCTTTTACGACAAATATTTTTATCCTT